CCGCATAGCATCGTTTCAGTGGGATGCCTCATATAGAGGAGGGAAGTGTTGGTGTTACTGTTTCAAATTTACCATAAATATAAAATGTGTACTTTAGTGTTTAGAAATGGGAAGTGACTGGCCATGAATTTAGTTCTGTTAAATAGATTCAGTGTTCACAAAAGAGACACTCAATGTACAGTGAAGCATTTATATTTAGTGGGGCATTAATGTTTCTAAATATTTTGTTGCTCTCCAAAGCTACAAAATGATACTAAAGAATGCCTTATATTTATCAACTTATCAAAACCTTCAGCATTTAAAAAATATCATTTGTTATTTTATTCAATTCAACTTGGCATTTAAAAGGTACCTATTTCCTAAAATGGTATTTTCTAGATGGTATTGTGGTTGAACTTGTTGACTCAACACTTATAAAACCGACAGCTTCCCCTGAAATAAATGAAGAAATACATACACACTGGAAATTTAGCCGTTCCATATCTTAGTGCACTAAAAACTGTTGGCTTTCTTTCTTTTTTTTTTTTTTTTTTTTTTTTTTCTGTTGTTCACCTATTGAGCTGAGCCTAGCTGGAGAAGAATGAAAATATATCAACTAGTTGTACCAATTCATAATCAATAAAAAGCTAAACATTTAAGCAGAAAATATATCACAGATTTGTTCCCTAGCAAAGCAGCTATTTTTGCCTTGCCATCATCATCAGAAGCCACATTCTGACAGAAATCATTTGCTCGAAGCAGCCGTGATATATACACCCTATGTGGTCTTGTGGTTCAGATTTAGGAATATCAGCCACAGAGGGTCTAAAGGCATTGTGCATTAGTATGTATTGAGACCTCATTCCAGGTGGCCAGCAGCTGGACTTTTTGAAAATAAAACTTCCAAAATAAATGTGAAGTGCTTGTTTCCAGGCAATAAGTGTTACATTTAATTGAATCATCCTCCAAAATGTTATAAATTAGGCAGAAAAGGGAGTTTGCATATTTAATATATTTGTTTTATATTTCCACTAGTCAACAGAATAATGAAATTCCTTAACTACTTCTCTTTAACTTGCATGAAGAAAGCACGGTATGTTGCTAAATCTCTTTTCACCAGCACCGCGGAGAAACAACTTTAATCCTTGTTAGAAAATTGCCGAGTCTGGGACTGACAAAGAGCTCATGCTTGTTCCATTGTTAGTGCTCCCCGGCCCCAAGAGCAGAGCCCTTTACAGCTGCGTGGATCCCGCCCGGCTCAGCTGCACTATTTAGGAGAGGAGGTTTGTCAATTTCTATTGACAATGGAGAGAGTTTTTCAGGGCCTGTAGCAGTGCTGACACAGTTGGGGATCAATGCCAGCCATTCAGACTGCACCCTCTTTCATTGCTTTGGTTTGTTAATTCAAGACTAAAGGTCCACTGAGGGGGTTCAGGGTGTTTAAGAAAGCTGATGAACTGTTTAAGAAAGCTGATGAACTGCAAGCATTTATAGCCCTGGTGTGGCAATTTCCATAGTCAGTGGCAACTCCTGGCACTGAGGGAGCTGTGTCCTTGTTGACCCTCTTGTTATTAAAAATGCACAAGTGCTGCGCTTCTCAATATTTCAACAATCTTTCATTGTCAATACCACCTTCTGAGCCCTTCAGCTTGTTGCTTGCTCTAAAGATCTTCTTAGATTGGGTTTGAAAACTTCACCTTAAACACTAGATTAGACTGATGTTCTGTTTTCCGTGCTCCTGTTGATTTGTTGAACCTTCCCAGGGCTGGAAAGCAAGTAGCAGCTTGATGGGGAGACGGGCTGCTAATATGATTTACCAGTCTACAGTCATGCACAATAAGTGTGAATAAATACAGGGGTCTCACAGAGTCAACCCTAGCCTTTCCTTTTCTTTTATTTTTGCTTTAAAAGAAATATCTCAAGAAAATGAAGTGAGTAATGCATGCCCTTACAGGAGTTGAATGAACCACAAAAAGAAAAAAAAAGACGTATTTTTTTGTTAAAGTGGTAGGCTGCTGTCATGGATTGATGTAGGAAAAATGTAGAATATACACTTACTGCTTTATTCCTAAGTAGACCAAAGCAAAGAAAGAAGCAGTAATGCCATACCCATGACTTCAGTGCAGACCGCAGCGCCCCTTCCTTGTCGTCCCCCGAAGGGAAAAGTGAATCGTCCACCCAATTGTTTTATAAAATTAACTTTTCCAAAATGAAAGGACATTTTCTAACATTCACACTTTACTGGACATTCACCCTTTTTGAATGTTTTTTTTCTTCGTAATGTTAAGGGGTTGGTTTTGTTTGGGGTGGGGGAAGATGCAGCCAAGCTACCTTTGACTTTTTTGTCAAGATATAAAAATGGGACCTACCATATTGCAGCACCCCAGAGAGGAACATATCAATTCCAGCACCAGAAATAGGAAACTGCTGGAGATTTCCGTTTGGTTGTTTTGTTTGTTTGCTTATTTATTTGGAGTGCGTGCATGTGTGTGCGTGTACGCGTGCGTGTGTGTATGTGTGCGCGCGCGCGTGTGTCTATTTCCTCACATACAAGAAAGAAGCAGTCCTAGTGGGTTTTTTGTTGTTAGCTTGTTCTTAGTAACAACATAAACTCTGAGCAAAAGTACTGCTTTCTCTTTATTATTTGTTTGTTTTAGCTGAAAATCTTCAAAGTGCCTTGACTTGGAGACCAAAAAATAGGCATTTGTAGCTGATAGAATTATTTTTCGTATAGAATTTTCCTTATAATTTGGTTACCTTTAAAGCTAAGATGATGGTAAAGTAGCTTAAGCTTTTTTTACTTAAGAGTGGTTCTCTTTTTCTCTCTTTTTATAGTTAACTTCAGATCATTTGATTCCCAACTTATTTTTCTCTAAAGTTATAATTTTGGCATTGTGTTAAAGAAGTTATATTAATAATAAATTTCTGTGTTACATTAAATGCCCTTTTGATTATCACTTAATCATAAGTATCATTGATGTGTAATGGGAAAATGAGTTAAATTAATTTTAAATTGTGTAAGGATTTCTTAAAGATGCATAGGGAGTAATTTTAAGAAAGGATTTTCATTTCCCTCAAATTCATACAACTTACAATAAATATAATAACTTTATAGTCTGACAGATTAGCTAGTATGTTATGCTAGACCATATATCATCTTTTGTTTCCCCCAACAAAAAAAATATATTATCTCTTGCAAAAGGACTATAATTTAAGAGTTACAACCATTGTGACTACATTTTAGCTTTCAAATTATCTGGAGAGTGGTATGGAGGTGAGGGTCTTAATTTAGTGTACTCATATTCAATATCACCAATACCTGGGAGTGTTTATGTGTATTAAAATAGAATTCAAGAGGTTGAGGCTATAAATAATTTGAAATAAGGAAGTATAGGATTTAAATACCAGTAGAAATTAATATGTCAGCTGCAGTACTGAATTCATTAGCAGTTTATTTTTTTAAGAATTTAGGAGTGTATCTTATTTTGTAAATCTCATTTCTGATACTTTTACAAAAATGTCCTGAAAATTAAGAAAGCAGTCATTAGGAAAGAGCACAGTCGGGTACATGAATAATATTTTTTTTAGATCCTAGCCTATCTCACATTTTAAAAACCTGAAACTTCCGTTCATCCATGTGATATAATATTTAGTAAATCAGTTACTCATTTTAATTACCTTATCTCATTTTATGCATGTGTGTTCAGTGTATTAAATTAATAGAAATAAGTCTAATGAAATGTGAAACTAATTCATGTTTAATTTATGCTTAAAATACCATTTCTTATACCAAATTTTGTCAGAACAAGGTTAATAAATACGAGTCCAGATGAATTTCAGACTTACTTGTAACATGTGATGGTACTCTTAGAAATTGAATTTGTCATTTTAATACAGAAGAAAAATATTTTTATGATTTTTTTCCTGTGTTTGAATACCTAAGACACATGTACCGCACGTACATGATGTATTGTGTCACTATGTTTGTGTTTACAAACAAGACACAAAATCCCTTTTCTCATGAAACTCTTGTTATTTCCTAAGTGCTGAATGGGCTTTGAGATTGATTTCTTACTGTTATCTGAATGAGAAGCATTATTAATTTTCCAGTACTACCTAAACCTAGTTCTAGCGTGTAGTGCTGAATCCCTTAAAATGCCACCACTAATGGCAGATTGCCTTTAAAACACAAAAACAAAAACAAAAAAACAGGAACAAATTTCTTCTTCTATACTCGTAGACATTATACAGGAGCAGGAAATTACGTTGGAGAAGAATTTCAGTTTCCCTCTCAAGAAAGTGGTAATAAACAGAGGAAAAACTGTGAACCCTCCAAAAACACTTGTAAAATGAAACCAGTTCTTTCCTTTCATAATTTGGTCAACTGACATCTTTTTTATTCTTATAGACACAACAATTCCATCCTGAATAACGTTCCTTCCTCAGGCGTCACATCTTTATTTTCAGTGGTTTTAAAACATCTTGGCAAATACTTAACGATACTAGGTAAAGGTGTGATTGAGGATGTCTTACCATCACTTCTGTAAAATGTTATTTCTAGGTATTGACTGCATGCGTCATGGCATAAATCTACTCTTTGATTTTTACATAACATACGGGCTAATTAGAAATTTCCCTTTGTAAGTAATTTACCTACTTTTTCCTGCTGTTTGGGAGTCCATTCAGTCCCATACCATGTATTTAGTGCCCGTTGTTACCTACCAATTACAAAGCAGGCCTCTAGGCCTGCAAGTGCAAAAACACGGTTTCCCTTGAATATGTTACAGCTGAAAGACTAATGTTAATTCATGTAGAGAACAGCCTAGGTCAACTTAGCAGATTTTCTAGCAAAACATAGAATTCTGTTAACAGGAAATTATAGCATTATTGACTTCAAGTGCTGATCTGTGGTCATTTCAGAGTGTTTCATTACCCCCTCATTACCGAATCTGTTACATGAATACTGCAGAGGCTGTTTTCTTTTCTGTTCTCCTCCCCTCCGCCCCCATCCTTCTTTCCAGCAATGGTACAGCAGTTCCATGAAAGTCATTTGTGTCTGGTTGGCTGATAGATTAGACCTTCAGCTTCATATTTACCAACTGAAGACGCTCATCAAGATTGTGAAGGTAAACAAAATGTGTTGAGATGTGAATTGCCCACCAAGCTATAAAGAATAATGGCTAGATATTGACATACAAGAAAATTGTATGTGACACACCTGAGTGGATGTAAGTACTTTAAAAACATCACTCTCAGCAGTGCTATGCCACTGTTTACTTCCATTTTCAGTTAGATTATCAAGTAAATGTAAATTTTTCTGCACTAATAAGTAAAAGATATTTTATCAGTGGTGAAATTTTAAGACAATGTACACAAAGCCTCTGGCACATTTACCTGATTGTAGTAGGTCCACAGTAATTTCATCTTCATTTTCTTAGGTATAGAAATATTTTCTCCTCCTGATACATTTGCTTCATGCTTATTAGGATCGCATATCATTATGAGGACTTTTTTTTTTTTTTGAACGTGCGCACATGCATGTACTCATGTGCAAGCTGGGGAGGGGAAGAGAGAGAGGGAGAGAGAATCCCAAGCAGGCTCCACACTGTCAGCATAGAGCCCACAGCCGGGCTTGATCTCACCAACCATGAGATCATAACCTGAACTGAAATCAGGAGTTGGTGCTTAACCAACTGAGCCACCCAGGTGCTCCATGAGGGCTTTGGAATTGTATTGGCCCACAGCATAAGGAGAGTGTCCATTATTTTGTCATATCCTGACACAAAAGTAACATTGTCACTGCCTAACTTCTTTAGAAGCATGCCCCATCTGACATGTAAGAGATGATCAGTTTGAGTGTTGGGGAACATCCCAACCAACAACAGGTGTCACATCCCTTAAGGCCATTTTGTCTTTTGCTCTTCAAAAGAAAAGGTAATAACACAAGTATTATATTTATTGAGTATATTTATTTACTTAACGTGATTTTATTAATATTTATAATTATTTAACATGATTTTTCACACTCTGTAATTCTAATGGAAACACAAAATTTCCTCCAAGTGTAACTTTTTCCTAAAATTGAGACAAATCCCACTTAATGACTAAAAACATAACTCTAAGCTATTGAGAATCAGCTGTTCTTTTGAAAAGATGACCTTCCATTTTAGTGCCATTTGTCAAATGCAATATATGTGTATATATATATTTGTATGTGTGTATATAGGCACAAATATGTATGTTTATATTTATGTGTATGTATGTGCATATGCGACACACAGTAGTTCTCAAAGTGTCATTTCTGACTTATATCAGCATCACCTGGGAACTCATTAGGCATACACATTATTGGGCCCTACCCCAGACCTGCTGAGTCAGAAACTCTGATTCTGGGGCCCAGCAATTTATATATTAACAAGTCCTCCAGGTGATTCCGATGTTAAAGTTTGAGAGGAACTATTGCATTACATCATTAAGTTTTAACCACATTAAAATATTTTCCATCATTCTCTAGGTTCCTGTAGTCTAATTAGAATACAAATTATTTTGTGCCATAGACACACAGGTTATCACAAATTAGAAAGACCCATAAATAGGAAAGTTCTGTTCTAAAGTGAGAAATTGGCAAATCTACCGGAACATAGAACCAGACCTATAATGTCACAGTAATAGCAATCATGATTAGTCATAAAGAACAAGTAAAATTATAGCCGCCCACTAATTTTTAATACCTCTGAACATGACATTTCAATGGAAAAAATAACTTTGGTCCAGAACACTTCTTACCAGGTGTTATTTGTTTTACAAAGAAACCGAAAGTGCACAATAATACGTTCATATTTGCCTTCGATTCTGCAATGTTTCTTTCTTGTTCTATTAATGTGACTTGGAGAGCTTTCAAAGAAGTTTGTTTTTCATAAAAGAGAATCAGAATCTGTGTATACCTTCTACATATATGTGTATGTTGAGGTTGCAGTCTGTACTGTGACTAATACTGGGATTAGCTGCTTACCTTACAATCAGTCATATTTTCAAGTTAACATCTATTGCATTCAAGATGTCAGAAATTACGTATTCACCTGATTGGCATTTTTGGCTGGATTGTTAAGCTCTCTACTTTGTTTTTAGAGTAAAAATATCTATTTATTAGCCCATCATCTTTCAAAGTTCTTCCTCTTCTCATATTCACACATGTCATTACAATTAAAGATCAAACACCAATGAATATTTTAGCAGAATAAAATGATAATGTCACGAATTATGCGGTGGCATTTCCATTGTACTCTACACCAATCAATTTATCTTAGTTTAACATATTCTTCATTATGGCTACCAACAGTCAAGACTGATAAATATGGAAATAAATTTCATGAATATATTCGACTTTCCATGCTTTGTTTTTCACAAGCAGGTCCCCAGACTCAGCCAATGCTTTCTTTGGCTGATACATTTAATCAAATTGTAGAGCTTTATGTAATAATTAAAAATTATTATTTTCACAAAGAAAATCAGGATGAATTAATAATTTAATGTTTTGATTGTTTCCTACTTTGAGTATAAACAGACTTTAACCAGTTTCGTACATAGATTCATAATTCTTCAGAACCTATATGGTTATATTTGTAATGTTCATTTTTCAGTGAATTTAAGAAGCTATTAAATAGCACATGTATACAGGGGTGCCTGGGTGGCTCAGTCGGTTAAGTGTCCAACTCTGGCTTTTGGCTCAGGTCATGATCTTACGGTCATTAGATCGAGTCCCATGTCAGGCTCCACAGCATGGAGCCTGCTTAAGATTCTCTCTCCCTCTCCCTCTCCCTCTCCCTCTCCCTCTCCCTCTCCCTCTCCCTCTCCCTCTCCCTCTGCCGCGCCCCTGTCCACTTGCATGCCTGCATGCTCTCTCTCTCTAAAATAAAACATAATAATAAGTATAAAAGCACATGTATACAATTGTGAAGGCCCCTGAGTAGGCTTTCCTTCCGTCCACATCTCCCGGTGCTAGCCAGCATGTTACTACAGAGTAGTGCATTCTACCAAGGAGCCAAACTGCTATTTGTTTGGTTTTTTTTTACTCTACAGGCATAGTCATTCTTCTCTGCCCACTGGAGACCCAGATGCCACCAAGATGTATATTACAGCCAACTTTGGCCCACAAAGACACTTAGATACTAATCAGTTCATTCATGTCACTCGCTGAGAAAAAAACAAATTCCACTAACAGATTCACAGAGAGTTTAGGGCTATGAAATTATTTGCAGTTTTAACATCGGAATGATTTATTGAAGGAGGGGGAGAAACAGAATCCTCAAACAATCAAAGTGGCAGATGGATTTGTGTTCTCCCGAGTGGCCCTATGACATTTAAAAGCAGTTAACGTAGATCAGCTGCTCTTACTAGGAGACAGGAAGACAAGTGAACAGCACCCCGTGGCAGGCCCTTGTCTTAAATAAGAACTAAGCAGACCTTCATTGCCAGCCACAGAGGATGTCCAAGGGCCAATAATATTTTATGAATTCGAAAGAGAGAGAGATCACAAGGATACCTGTCCTGCACCTCCCCTAACTACCTGTTGCTTGGTGATAAAATAAGGCAGTAGAGTCTTAATTACACATAAATTAGAAAGCCTTCAGGACTGCAGATCTACAACACAAATCTGTCCTGGCCAACTTACTGACAATTAAGCTAAGTCTAAGAAAAGTCAATTCTAATAAAACAAAAAAGCAGGACTTATAAACTCAGCATATAATTGTTAACGGAACAATATTTCATATCAGATGCATTATGCAATATTTCATGTCAGGTACATGAGTAATTTGTGTACTTGACATAGTTTTAATCAAACTATTAAACAGTTACAGTCTTGAACACAAATCTCTGGGGTAATACTACTGTGTATATTAGTTACCAGATTTTCTGGATAAAACTTACCCTTCAGAGCCATTCCCATGTGTTTTGATGCAAATTACCAGAGGTTTTGGTGTAAGAGAGTGCCACCTTAGTAATAATGAGATTAACACCTTAGAAAGAGAATATGAGGATAGTGGGGTGGAAGTATCTTAAAATATTAAAATGTAAGTAAAAATAGTTTTGATCATTTAAGAAACCACTCTCTGAATCAAATTTTTATGGGCTGTTAAGATACCTCTGATACTGCACAGCATTTCTCACAGTTCAGTTTATTTTTGGACAGGTGGTAGACTTTTCAAATATGAATTTTATTTATAACAAGTAATGATCCAAATGAGAAAAAAATTATTCACCCTCCATATTTGCTTTTGGCATATCACTTCTGAAACTTGTAATGATACTGTGGGGCATACATCAGATTAAAAAAGACAGGAAAATAAAATGTGAAAATACCAATGGCCCCCACAACCTTGTAATGATTTTGCTCCTTCCCCGAAATCTGTTAGTAAACCAGGTATGTATATCAAGGGGATTAAGGTGCTATTCATCAGCATTTCCTACCTGATATGAATAAGTACCTTCAATGAAACTGTGTGAATATTAAAAGTTTCCTTCCATATATTCTGTTGAACGAAATCAAGCATGCCTTCATGTTAATGTCCAGCTATTGGAGTTGTAATATTGGGCCAGAAAGTACAACATTCCTTCTTACTTGACTTTTTTCATCTATTAAGTGTAAAGCAGACAACAACAAAAGTACCTACTAGAAACATTTAGAACAATGGTGGCATGTTGATACTGATACTTGAGTCCAGTCCATTAAAATCTGAATGTTTAATATTCTAAATCTAACACAGGACAGTAAACAAAATCTGGAAAGATATTTAGCATTAAAAACAGCCTTAGAAGTGACTCTACACAATGGGATATCTTCATTTGTGTTTTGTTTCCACACTGAACTAATTCTAGATTTTTCCCACAATTTAAAAAAAAATAATAATAAAATTCCAGTCCTGTTTAGTCTCAGAAAAAAATCTTATATGAGGAAAATTGCACATAAGGGGATCAGTGAAATAAGCGATGCTTTCTAGGTGACATATCCTAAGTGCCACAGAACCCAGAATTCTGTTGTTCCTGTCATTGTTCTTAGGATTCATGTTATAAACATTAACATGACGTTTGTTCTATTTTTGACATATAATACATCAAATAATAGGCTTTTCACAGAAAATATAAATACATGTTGTATTTATCACCTGTGGAAGCTTTCTACCAGAATTTTGACACTTCACATTCCAAGGGAATTTCAAAAGGAAAGGGCAGAATTCATCCAGACTTCTGGGTGTACACAAATTTTTAACCGGTGGTACATATAAATAAATGTTGTAATTCACAAATGCTGAAAATGCAAACTTCTTTTACTGATAATAGGATTAATTATCTCCCTCCACACTTCCCCCCAAAAGCTAATACATTGCATAAAATGTGTTTTTCAGTATTAAAGGAAAGACATGTCAACTGAAAAACTAAGAATTCCTTCATTTAAAAATGTACATAAGTGCCTATCATTTTACCTTGTCGCAAGCTATTCAAATAGCAAAGTCTGTGCCATTAGCAATATTTTTCACTTGTCATCTGTCAGAACATTTTGATCTATTCAGAGTGATTCTACTTTGAAAAGCAGGATCCGAGGTCTCATTTCTTTTTCTCCCCAGAAATATACCAACAGGTTGATTGACATGGGCAACTACAATCTGAGTCCATTAGTGAATTGTCCCACATTATTGTTGAAATGCTAACTGAGGATACATACGGACGTCCATCCATACAATTCGTGAGCTATCTAAGCAAAGTCTTTCTTCTTCTTCCAGAAAACCTATAGGGACTTCCGACTTCAGGGTGTGTTAGAAGGCACACTGAACAGTAAGACCTACGATACTCTGCACAGACGTTTAACAGTCGAGGAGGCTACAGCCTCCGTCTCGGAAGGAGGAGGACTTCAGGGCATCACCATGAAAGACAGTGATGAAGAAGAAGGCTAATAACTCCCAGCTCTGTGGGAGGAAGGAGGACCTTGACATTATTTTGTACCCTGTCCTTGTAATTACATTGATTGTTTGGACCAAATAAAAAATGCTTGTATTTCACTCCGCATTGTAAAGCGTGAACCTGGAAGCAGAGTTAAAGGGGAAAATGGCAAGTTTCTTGGTTTGGGGGGATTTTTAAAGATGAGTCTCTTTTGTGTAGTTTGACCTAAATGAGCTTTGGCTTTGTGATTGGAACATAACTTTTTGGTTTTTTTGGAAGATTTGACTTTTCCGTCTGTAATTACATCAAAGTAGTGTCCTGTGTGTGAAATGAGATATGTATTTCTCATAATGTGACATTGTGAGAAGAAGCTACTTGGATCACTGTGCCAGCTCTATCGTGCCCTTGTTAAAGTGGTGTGTATTTAATAGTTTATCATTTATGTGTGAGGGTTTTGTTTTTTTTTTTTTTTTTTTTTTTTTTTTTTTTTTTTGTAGTTAATTTGCCATTGTTGTGATGTGTGTAAAAACTTTAACCTCTGTTCTTAGTATTCTGAGTTCATCTGCAGGCTTCAAGGACTGCCAAACCCAAATATAGACTAGATTATCCATCAGCTTGTGTCTTGTTTTATTCTGAACATTCCTTCTTTCAAGCGTAAGAAAAAATCCCAAAGTGTAAGGTAGTAAATGTGCTGCCTTCAACATACCATATTCTCCTACTTCTAAGTGTAACAGCTTGCAGGCAATAAAAATCTCTTTGGTCGAAACCACTCCTGTATTTATTAGACTTGTGTAAATTAAATGCAGTAAAAAAAAATATTTGCAGTATTATGAAAGCCCCAACAATTTGTCTCTGTGTTTTTGTGTTTTTGTTTGTTTACAATCAAATGAGTAAAAGATATCAACAGTGCTTTTGCACCTAGAAGGCACACACATTTGTTAAAAGAGTAAGTTACTCCGACAGTCTATTTCCATAGCAAAGGTAATGTTGACTACATACTCATACGTGTTAACGTTAGCAGTGTTAACTAATAAAGAGTAATACTAGGAATGCTGGTAATTTAACTAGCAATTGACAGGTTAGTTAACTATTATATCTTCTTCCAAAATATTTTCTTGCTATAATTTTGAAAAATAATAGTGTTATAACTTTGTAATTTCTCTGTGAGTTTTAATTTTGTATTTTTTCCTAAAATTCATATTGTGCTACTACATCCATTCATAAATAATCTTTAAATGAGGTAAGTTAATGCAGAATAAGCAGAGGTATCCCTGAATTTATGTAAACTGTAGTTCTGGAATTTTGGAAGTGAAACCGACTTCTTAGACCTCCAAATTCATTCTCCTGTGTTGTTATTAATGGTGTCTCAGTAGCTGGACTAGCCCACAAAAATCCATTTAATTCAGTTATCATATACTACTGGTTTGGGCTCAAATCTGGGTCCTGGGGGTAAGACACCCTACGATACAGGACAAACTTGAAAGTAGATGTCTTCCCCTTTCCTGGATTAGAAACTAACTCTACCAACTCGGTGTTGTGGAAAGTCAGTTTTTCCTGAAATGTTCTCTTTCCCTCTCTTCACCTTCACATCCAGTATCAGCCTCTCTTTGGGCCCCTACGTGTCCAGTTGTGCCACCCTAAACTCCTCGGTGGTACCCTCTCCACGGTTGCTGCCGCACAGCTCAAATGGCTGGCTACTTGCAAATTACCCACCCTTGTTTTCTTCTAAATGTCTGTGTCTTTGATTCAGCTCATCTCTAAGTAATTGGCCCATATTGCCCTGAAGTATGAATGATGGATGACTGATCCCTTCGCCCCCCCCTCCAGCCCTATGAAAGGAAATATCTAGCTGATCCAATTCAGAAATGCAGGGGAAAGCCCTTAGGGCCAGGCGGATCTTCCTGCTGATCTAGTTCACCTGCCTGCTGGCTCTCTTGGCTGGTCAGCCTCTTGTAGCTTCTCTCTAGATTTGCAGGTTCTCTGCGCCTTCCCTTCTGTACTCAGGAGATTTCTAAAACCTCTACTCCCCACTCCAACCTTCAGTGGCTTCCACAGGGAGAACAGCAGAGCCAAAGGCAGGTAGTGGGGATGCTCAGAAGTTTATGATGACTATGTGGACTAACCTTTTAGCCACAAAGAGGCGTAGAAGAGAAATCTATAAAGTAACTGAAAGAGAATGAAATACCACTTTTGGGTTTTTGCCCAGAAATTCTCTCCAACATAACTGCAAATTGCTCGAGACGACTTAATAATTGTTCATCGGTGTGTGTAACTGTTAGGGTGAATACCCAAGCATCTGTCTATTAAAGGAAGCCAAGTGTTACTATTTTTTTAAAAAGTATTATTTCATTTAAAGGAATTTAATTGAAAGACGAACAAGTTTTAACAAAATTTTTGAAGTGAAAATCATTTTTAACTCAAAGAAATAGTCCTATCCTCCTAAATGGTTTTGGGCAAGGGCCAAAAAGTGCGTTTTGGGGGCAGTTTGGTGAGTGTTGCAGGAGAAAATAACTAATGCAGTCCAATATCCAGCTGGAATGGATCTGTTAAATAACACGTCTAAAAGGAAAGTTTCTCCGAACGCATGGAGAAAAAAATAATAATGCCTTTTCCCGGAAAGGGAAAGAACCACACAGAGCTTAACGTAAACCTCTCAGCTCCAGCTGTGGGTCGTTCTTGCATTCACGGGTTTTTCCACCTGAATTCCCCTTAGTTCTTGTTCATTGTCCCTCGCTCTGCAGAAAGGACTTCCTGCTACTTTTGCAGTAAGCGCCCGTGCAAAGTGTCTCGGGGCACCCACCCCGCCCACCACGGTCATAGCCCGGCCTGGCCTAGCGCCGCCCTCCTTCGCCCGCGAAGACTTCGGGTCCCTGAGCTCCGGGAAGGTGCGCTTGGTGGGAAGGAGGTCACTCGGCCATCGCTGCTCATGGAGCCCCTCCCTGCTGCGACCTCCTGCAGTCCGAGAGTCGCTAGCCCCCAACCCTCCCTGCCCGCTCCCTGCAAACGCGCGGAGACGCGGGGTCGACGCCCGGCGTGCGGGACGAGCGCGCTGGCGGTCGGCAGGATCCCCGCGAGCCGGAGCTCAGAGCCTGCCTTCCCATCCCCTCCCGCCTGGCGTCTGGTAGAAAGACCTGAGCGTGGAAATTCGAGCATGAGCCTGGTCGCTTTTATTTTTTACTCCCCAAACAGAAAATGGAAATTTCCCGGTCCGGGTCCCTAAAGGGAGGTGATAGATCGATGTTCCTGAGAGATGTTCACGCGCCGCTGGTGGCGGGGTAAACACTCGCCCAAAGAGCAAGCAGATCGGCCCCCGCGCGCTCTGCGCCTCTGCCTTCGCCGCGAGGCCCAGCCCCCACCGACTGCCCTCGACCCATCCCACCCCCGTTAGTTTTGCGCGGAATTGGAGGCCTGGTCTGTGGGAGTTCGGGAAGACGGTGTTCGTCCTATCTTTACTTGGGGTCCTCCTAACTCATCCCCCTGCCCCAGTGCTATGCGGCGAGCGCGGTGGAGAGCGGGTCTCCTTTCCCCCTTCAAACTCTGCTCGCTGGACGGGCAGGAACCTTCGGGGAAAGCGGACGTCTGAGTTGGCTCCAGTACTTTGCTGCAGACGGAGTCGAGCCCAGGGGCCTGGGCAGCCGGGCGGAGGCGAAGAGGAGCTGAGACCCCGCAGTGCCCGAAGCGCGCGGCTGGCAGTTGCTCCCCCGTCCCCTTCCAAGGGTGAGGCTTTCCCCCAGCGTTGACTGAAGGATGGGGTGCAGAGATGCCTTAATCTGCTCTTCTCTGTGACACTGAAGAAAGATACTTAGAGGAGTAGAAGCGGATAGAGACTGAGCGCAAAGCGCTGAGCCTGCGTTCCAGAAGTCACGACCGACAGTCAGTCGCGCCCTTTGTCCGTGTGCAAGATGTGATTGTTTTAAGGGAATAGGCAGTGGAGTGTGAGAGTGTAGTGCCGAGAAGAGAAGAAGAATTCGATGTGGTTCCCAAATGAAGACCCCTGATTTAATACCAAGAAACAGGTGCACAGGACACCGCTTGGAGATCGTAGTAAGCAACGCCTTGGGGCCAGAGAAACCCGGGTTTGAGTCTTTTGAGTGCTAACAGCTACGCCTCTTCCCCGCGTCTGAGCTCTGTGTCCTTGGGCAAGTCACTGAACCTCACTGTAAAATGAGGACTTAATAAGGCAGGTGGTTGTAAGAATTAGAGACAGGTAATAAGTTGTGGCCAATACTAACTAGTTCTTTGTGAGGAATGGATTCAAAAGAAATCGTGGCAGTCCTGCCTCTGCCAATGCGCACCACCATTCTCCAGCCATTGTCCCCGCGGTGGTTTCAGGGTCCTTCTGCATCACAGCCAGCTCAGCGGATCTTCAGCCTCGCCCCCGGCGTGTCAGTGGACTGGAGGGTTCCGGGGTTATATATAGGGCCAGCCTAGTGGGAGGAGAGGAGAAGACGGGGAGGGGCAAACCTTGTCGGGTCTCCAGAAAGGGCCGGCTTCGCCTCGAGCAGCCCCCGGAGCGGCCGGAGGGAGGGGAGGCAGCTGGAGACGTGCCTTTGGGGGATGGAGTTGGTCAGAGGCTCAGAAACTAGACAGGTGTGATCCCGGGGTGCTAGACCACAAGTGAGGAATCTCAGACCTCGGCCTCTGCCCAGTAGGTTCTAAGTGCAAGAGAATTTAAGGGGCAAATTGGTGTTCATTCATGTTTTCCAAAGTTTAAGGAGGCCTAGAATGGCGTCCTGCGTCTCAGACCAGAGATGCGCGCACAGTAAGCGCTTGGAAAATTCGAAGCGGAACGGAGAGAGAAGCAGAGGAGGCCGCAAACCGCCCCAGCGAGCGAAAAGGGCTGACACTGAGGGCAACAGTCAGCACCGAGTCCTGGCCCAGAGTGCGGAACTGCCAGCCCTTGTAGGCTGTCGTGAAAACGCCAATAACTGGGAGGCCCAGCGTGGGCCGAGGGCAAGCCCCAGGGGCTCATCCCAGCGTGTCCGTGGCGAAGGAGACACGTGCCCTGGTGATG